AAAAAAAAAAAAAAAAAAAAAAAAGAAAGAAAGAAAGAAAGAAAGAAATTATTTTGGGCTTGGTGCCTATACCACAGTGGTTACAGCGCTAGCCACATACCCAGAGGGTGGTGGGTTCAAACCTGGCCTGGGGCAGCTAAAAACAAGAAGAAGAAAATAACCAGGCATTGTGGCAGGTGCCTGTAGTCCCAGCTAGTTGGGAGGCTGAGGCAAGAAATCACTTAAGCCCAAGGGTTTGCGGTTGCTGTGAGCTGTGATGCTGTGACACTATAGCACTCTACTGAGGGCAACATAGTGAGTCTCAAAAAAAAAAAAAAAATTATTATTTTGTAATCATTACTGTCAAGGTTCATTTGGGCCAAATCATCCAAAAATTCAAAATACAGAGGGGCAAATCTTATGACAAGCAGGATGTCTGCATGTTTCAAAGTAACTCACACATTATGTAAAATGTGGCATCATACAGCAGGGAGACCAGATGATATTATACCAAGACAATCAAAATTACAATCACCAGAACGGGGCAGATGGACAAGTGCCCACATGCAACATGCTAGCATGAGAAGAAAGAGCATTCTGACCAGCGGTGAGTCACACGTGTCTCATCAGAAGTAAACACAAGACAAACCCAAACCAAGAAATATTCTCTAAAAGTAGCAATGTCATAAAAGACAAAGGGAAGATGAGAAATTGTTCAATATTAAAGGAGACTAAAAAGACATCTCAACCAAATGCACTCCAAGAGTTTAGACTGGATCCTGTCCCGAAGGGGGAGACACACAGGACATCAGCAGGGACAAATGACACAACTGAAATTGGGCCACAGATTAAAAAAAAAAGCACTGAAATTGATCACTGAATTGTGAATGAGACAAGAGAACACTCTTCTCCTCAGGAAATGTTCACTGATACATAAAGAGGCAAAGGGGGCTAGGCACACTGCATTGTAATCTAGCCCTTTGAGAAGCCAAAGCAGGAGGATCGCCTGGCACCAGAAGTTTTGAGACTAGCTTAGACAACACAGCAAGACCTCGTCTCTACAAAAAAATTTTATTTTAAAATAGCTGGGCACGGTGGTAAGCATCTGTAGTCCCAGGGAAGCTGAGGTAGGAGGATCATTTGAGTTCAGGCATATGAGGTTTGCAGTGAACTATGACTATGATGCTGTACTCTGGCCTGGGTCATAGAGTAAGATCCCAACTCAAGATAGATAAGACAGACAGATTTTAAAAAGAAGCAAAAGGGCCAGGTGTGGTGGCTCACATTTGTAATCCCAGCACTCTGGGAGGCTGAGGCAGGTAGATTGCTTGAGCTTGCAAGTTCAAGACCAGCCTGAGCAAGAGTGAGACCCCATCTCTAAGAATGGCTGAGTATTGTGGTGGGCGCCTGTAGTCCCAGCTACTTGGGAGGCTGAGGTAAAAGGATTGCTTGAGCCCAGGAGTTTGAGGTTGCTGTGAGCTGTGACACCACAGCACTCTATCAGGAGCAAGAAAATGAGACTCCTGTCTCATAAAAAAGAAATAAACAACAGGCAAAAAGACATGATGTGTGCAATATACATGCTCCAATGGTTCAGAATATAAGTATGTATGTCTGGGAGAAAGAGAAAGAATAAAAAAGTTAATGTAGCAAAGTATTAAAAAAAAATTAGTGAATCTGGGTAAAAGGAACATAGAAAGTACTACTTTTTTCTTATAACTTGTCTATAAAAACTTATCTCAAAATAAAATTTTACAAAAAGTGGGTAAAGAAATAACAGGGTAACACTGTACCTGGGGTCAGAGTCCTACATTTCTATTTCTGGTGGACATTTGTACAAGATAAATCACAATCTCTGATCCTACTGCCTGTTCCCTAAAATAGATGGCTACTATCTGCCCTGCAAATTCCACAGGAGCAGATGAGGACGTGGAAATGATCTCAGAGCTGGGAAAGTTAATACACAGCTGGGTAATGCAGCTTCGAGGTGGGATGTCAAAAACCCAATTTTAATAACAGAATAGTGAAAGTCATTACTCATTAGTCCTATTTGCTGTCATCCCACTACTTAAAGTTCAGCTGTGAGAGAGAAGCAGGTATACCCTGTCCCCCCACCACCATTCCTTGCTCCCCAAAGCAATCACCACAACCAGTGCCACAGTGCCCGGAGTACCAAGGGCAGGGTACCCTGCAGGCAAGCGGGGGCACTGTCGACATGAAGAGTCCCATCAGAAGAGCTCACCTGGGAGGCAAGAGGGTAGACAGGCAGCTACCCTAAACTCAAACCCACACTTCCCTGAACCATGGTTTGGAAGAAAAACCATACTAGCAATTTCAAAAAAGAATCCACATTTGACTCAAAAGAAGCACATCTTACCGATTTGTAATGATGTCATTCCAAATGTTTAATGGGTCCATTTTAGCATCTGGATATCTGTTCATCCAGGTTTTTAAAAGTCTCTCAAGGGGAGCTTGAGATGATAAATTACCTAAAAATAATATTTGTGGATGATCATGTCCACAGCTCAATGACAAGACCTACTGGCAAAGTGAGGTCACCACTGGTAAACAAGACCCAATCCAAACTTCCTGTCCAAATTAAAAATAATCTTTCCCCTCATAAAAGACAAAGGTATACTAAATCTGATATATTCTGAAATTAAAACCCAATCACTATACCCTCTACCTTCTAAGACTCTATTTTGAAATAAAAATTATTTTTTAAAAAAGAAAAAACCTCATTTGCTTAAGAATCTAGAATAAATATGGAAAAATAAGCATATACTACTCTTAAATTTATTACATGTCTACACCCCTTCACTTCCAATCTCAGCACCCTGGGAAGCCAAAGTGGGTGGAATGCCTGAGCTCAAGAGTTTGAGACCAGCCTGAGAAAGAGTGAGACTCCATTTCTAAAAATAGCCAGGCATTGTGGCAGGTACCTGTATTCCCAGCTACTCAGGAGGTTGTGGGAAAACTGCTTGAGGCCAGGAGTTTGGGGTTTCTGTGAGCTATGATGCCACAGTACTCTACCCAGGCAATAGAGACCCTGTCCCAATAAAACAAAACAAATCACTAAAACAAAAACAAAACAAAAATAAGACACGGGTGGCTCAGCACCTGTAGCTCAGTCGCATACACTAGAGCTCGCGGGTCTGAACCCAGCCTGGGCCCGCCAAACAACAATGACAACTACAAAAAAAAAAAAAAAAAAATAGCCAAGCAATGTGGTGGGTGCCTGTAAGTCCCAGCTACACAGAAGGCTGAGGCAAGAGAATCACTCAAGCCAAGAGTTTGAGGTTGCTGTGAGCTGTGACACTGTGGCACTCTATTGAGGGTGACATAATGAGACTGTCTCACAAAAAAAAAAAAAAAGACCCAGGTAATATTGATAAAGAGATTAAAATAGCTCCTAGAAAGTACAATGAACCTCATAAATACATGTCACTGATAATAAGTACTTGAAAAATAATTCTCTAAATTTAAAATAGAGAACAATTAGGTAGAGAGATACGAATACCAATTTTTATTAGCATTGTAAAATGTCTTTCATAATTACTCTTAATTATCAGGATAAAAACTGAAATTTAGATTTATAACTGAGATATTTTACCTTCAAAAGATGTCTTCTTTCCCTCAGACTCTCTTAGGCCCAGGGCCCTTCTGGATCTGGCACTCCCCTCGACCCTGCCCGCAGCCCCCGCCCTCCCTCTGGACTCATCCCACCCGAGAGCTCTGTCAAGCCAGCCAGTATATTTTATTTTGACCTAGAAAAATGCACTTTCACTAAGCAAAAAAAAAAAAAAAAAATCAGATGCTACAACTCTTATAATTACAAGTGAAAATATTAATGGTAGATTTAAAAAATTACCTTCTTTGCTTATAAAGTTGATGAACTCTTGAATTTCTGTTAAAGCTTGTACAGATTGCAGTTTGGTGAGCCTGCTTCTGTGTAAGAGGGCATCAATGCTAGAATAATTCTAAGGAAAAGGCATTTAGCACTTTCACAAATCAAGTTTTCACTTTAAATTTTTAATAGTTCTCTAAAACATGAAATATAGCAACTACTCTATAAATATATCAATTATCCAGTGTGTCAGAGTGGTTAATAATTAGGTCACAGAAACAACTGTCAAATGGTTTAGTTTTACAAAATAATTTCAATCACATTTTAGTTCAATAAAATCAATAAAATGAATATAATCAAGCTATCACTGCTTCTATTTGCCACCAATTTAAAAAATATCCCAATATCCTATAAAGCAAAATTGCCATGTACAGAAGTCAGTTGCTTCTTCTTTGATAAACCTCTTGAGTATATGACTGATCAACTTCAAAATGGCTGAATGAAAATTAGATTAATAAGTTAGTGTGCCTCTATGCTAGATGTTGTTAATGGGACTCTATGAAAGACATTGACAAACACTCTTCAGAAAACTCTCTAAAGGGCAAAAAATAAAAAAACAGCAGAAAATAGATAGGCAAGGTTGATCCTGATTCTTCTCCAGAAAGATCTAAACTTCTGTTCCACTACTCCAAGAAAGTCTATTCTCAAGTGTTAACAGTACAAGACAACAAGAACCAAATAAAAACAAAAAATGCAACTGTTTATAACAGAAAGGAAAAATTTTTAAAAAGACATCAAGACAAAGGACAATAAGACATTAAGACAAAGCAGCTAGAAGAACAAAGAGGAAGGGATGGGTGACACAAAAGAAAACTAGAAAAGTTTTCCTTGTCGAATTTTTTCATGAGTTTACTACCTTTTAAAAATATTATGAAATGGCACATTTCAGACAGGTCTGTATTACCTGCATAAAAGCCCGAATGCCATTCTCGACATAGTATCGGGCTCTGCCCACGTCATCCTGCAGGAGGTAGAGTAGGCTCAGTTCCTGACTGTACTGCAGCTCCAGAAGGGCCTTGCGGAGCTCCACCTTCATGGCCTCATCCAAGAATGTTAGCAGGGTCTGGTCCCCCTCACCTCGCAGCAGCAGCTTCAGCTTGCTGCGGATCAGGTAAGGCAGGTATGTTTCCTAAGGAAAGTGAAAATCCACCTGTAACTTCAAAAAGCTAATTTGAGCATGTCTATTTTATTTCTATAGTATCTTTTGCTGTAATTTTATAGCTTAAGATTTAAAGCCAAAGTGATGATGTTTGATGCTTCAAACCTAACACTACCATTTTAGAAACAAGTTCATCTAAAATAGCTTCTTTTGTAACTGCAAAATATATAGGAGTACGTTCTATAGAAAACAGGAACTACTTTTAGCTGGAAGAAGACTGGTTACAAAAGGAGGAATTTATAAGCACAGTCAAGAGAGGGGTAGTCTGTGTGTAGCCACTAATCCAAGGCAACTCCTGTCACATAAGAGATAAAAGGGAAAACTCTTCTGGGCAGCTGTGGCAGGCATGTTAAAATTTATTTATTTATATACAATTTTGAGACAAGAGTCTCACTATGTCGCCTGGGTAGAATGCCATGGTGTCAGCCTACCTCACAGCAATCTCAGACTCTTGAGGTCAAGCAATTCTCCTGTCTCAGCCTCCTCTCATAGCTGAAACTATGGTACCCAACACCATGCCTCGCTAATTTTTCTATTTTTAGTAAAGATGGGGTCTCACTCTTGCTCAGGCTATTCTCAAACTCCTCAGCTCAGGCAGTTCTCTAGCTTCAGCCATCCAGAGTGCTGGGATTACAAGTGTAAGCCACTGCAAACAGCTTATTTTAAAATGCATGTCATTTATTGTGAAAGGGTTAGCCAAAAGTTATTTAATGAAAGACTTAACAATACAATGGCGTTTGTGTGGAGAGCTGGGCTATACAAAGATCCTAATGCTTCACAAATGCTGCCTTGTTTTTGAAAAGTTTTATTAAACAATTTTATTAAGTAGAAAATACTTGACCACTTAAAATACTTATTTCAGTATATTAAAAATAATTCTACCCACCTGATAAAAAGGTTCACTCCAAATTTTACTTAGATCTGGAGGGCTCTTACTGTCTATATTTGCGGTAGAACAGTATTCAAGTGATTTCCACTCAGCAAGGTGGTTATAACAGTCAAGAGATGCAAGTTCCCAAAAGTCCTTCTCAGCCTCCGTGGGCTCACCATCCACCCACTCTTGTTTATTGAGGGCCTGGCAGAGAAAAGTTAGTAAGATTATTTCACAAATTTGGAAAGAATACAAATGAAAACATGTAAAAAAAAAAAAAAAAGAGGTAGTGTAACAGTCATAGTAAAGACGATCATTTTTAGCTTCATACCAAGGAGAGGAAAAGGAAAATATTCAAAGCAACACTGAAAGGAAGAAAAAAGCAAAAGGAAATCTAAATTAACAGATGCACATAAAAACCCAACCAGGGGAAAGACAGTTCTCAAAAAAACTTGCCGATGAAGCTAGTGAGTAAGGCTGAAGACTTTTAATGACCCATAATTTGATTTAAATCAATACCATAGGTTATTTATTATGTAACAGGTTCTTAGAAAAACATTAGAATATAGGACATCTGCAGAAAATCACAGAGGATTTCAGAACCTGGATTGTTCACTCAGGAATCTCACAGGTCCCAGAAACTGAATTTTAACATCTACACTTGGATTCAAAACTTGAACAAAATGTTCAAAACTGAACTCTTAAGCTGAGAGCAGTGGCTCATGCCTGTAAATTCCAGCACTTTGGGAGGCCATGGCAGGAGGATACCTTGAGCTCAGGAGTTCAAGATCAATCTGTGTAAAGTGAGGCTAAAAACAGAAAAAATAAACTGGGTGCTGCGGCAGTGCCTGCAGTCCCAACTACTCAGGAGGCTGAGGCAGGAGGATCCCTGGAATCCAGAAGATGGAGGTTGTTGTGAGCTAGGCTGACAACACAGCACTCCTGGGTGATAGAGTGAGAATCTGTCTCAAAAAATAAAACTGAACTTACTTATCTTCCCAAATTCTTCTGTAGTTTATACATTTTTTCAACTTATTAAAAGAAAACAACTCCTTCAACAGAAACTGCATAGTAATAGCAAACACAGAAATAAATACTATGCAAGTTTATAGTACATTAGGTCTTCAGTTAACATTGTTGTCAACAGGCTCCTAGAAACCGTAGCTTTAAGTGAACCCAAGTATAAAGAAACCAGTTTTTCTCTCATTAGCATTATAATGAGAAGACAGGGAATGAACTACATTTGAGGGCCATTTTTTGCTTAAAGTCACAGTTCATGCACAAAACAAGCAACTGACATATTTATTAGAGGTCATTTTACCTCATCATACTGCTTAGCAGCTTCAGAATAATCACTTCTGGCTTCCGCTAATAGTGCATTCTGAGTGATCTGCTTTGTTCCTATCTCAGTGTTAAAAATACCATGAAGGACATCATATTCTCCAATTGATCTATATAGCCTATAAAACAAACCAAAAACATGTCCAGACCAGTGAATATCATAACACTTTAAAATAAAATGATATTAAATCAAGACATCCCAAATATGATATTAACTAGGCCAGTCATGGTGGCTCACATCTGCAATCCCAACACCCTGAGAGGCTGAGGTAGAGGGATTAGTTTGAGGCCAGGAGTTCAAAACCAGCTGAGGCAAAAAGCAAAATCCCATCTCCACCAAAATAAGAAAAAAAATTAAAAATTAGCTGGCTTGGTGGTGCACACCTGTGGTCCCACCTACTCAGGAGGCTGAGGAAGGAATATTGCTTGAGCCTGAATCTGAAGTTAATAGTGAGCTATGATGCCATCATTACCCTCCAACTTGAGTTACAAAGCAAGACTATCTTGATTAAGAGTCATAGAAGAGCCAGTCATGGTGGCTCACGCCTGTAATCCTAACACTCTGGGAGGCTGAGGCGGGTAGACTGCTTAAGCTCAGGAGACCAGCCTGAGCCAGAGCAAGATCCTGTTTCTATAAACAGCTAGGTGTTGCAGTAGGCACCATAATCCCAGCTACTCGGGAGACTGAGGCAAGAGGATCCCTTGAACCCAAGATTTTGAAGTGCTATGAGCTGTGACGCCACAGAACTTTACTGAGGACAACACTGTGAGACTCGGTCTCAGAAAAAAAAAAACAGAGAGAGAGAGATAAAATGTTATTTTTATTTTACTAGTAAAAATATAAAACTTCAAAAATTTTAAAGCTACTCTTAGGTTTTACTACTCCAGCTGCACAGAAAACAGAAATTATTCTAATGTGCATTTGTAGTGAAATATAAAAATTGCAAAAGTTCACAATGTGTTAGATTCTTAAGTATTAATACACTGCTGCATCTGTTGGTGGCCCCTTTGGAATCTTGGTTCCAAAGCTCTAAAATACCCAGAAGCAAGTAGAAAATAACCCTAACCCTACAGATGCCATGCTCAATCCCCGCGCTATGGACAATCTCAACAATTGCACTGTCAAGCAATTTCCTTGCAGCCTCACTATCTGCTAGAGCATTAATTCATCTCTTTACCTTAACAAAATTCTGGTCTGACCCTCCATGGTATTCCCAAGCAAGTATTATTCCGTTTGTTCCCTTCCTCCAGAAAATTTCTTTTCCATCTTCAGGTTTCAACCTGAACATCACCTCTTCCTAAACCAGCAGTCATCTGTCCAGCCAGCCCAGGCCTGCACGATCCTTGGCTTCCCTACTGTTGGGCCCCTCCTGGATACCAGGTCTCTTATACTGACATCAAAGAGCCCTACAAGCTCACTCCCAGAGCCTACCAATTCTGAATTTATGCAAAAATCTAACACATGCGGCTCTTACTGCCCTGATCATAGAGGGTTGACTTTCTCATTGTGAATTCAGGCAGCCAGAGTTTATTTAGTGCGAATGGCACCTGAAGGTGTTCATTTTGCAAACAAAAACATACCTGACTTGAGTCTGTAAGCACCTTACTCTTCGTTCTCAATGTTTTCACAATTGTGCCTGAAATAATTTGTACAAACAGTGGATTCCTGAGGGATTATATGTAAATATGGAGTATGATAAATTCAAAGAGTTGTCAAGGTCAAAAGACTTGATCATTTCTGGAGAATCTGGACTAACAAGTAGCTATAAAAATACTTCTCACAAAAAAGTCACATCTCTCAGAATCTGATTTGGAAAACCAAAGTGTAAAACCTATTTCAAATTTAAAAGAAGCCAACCCTAGGCAACTTCAGTGGAGAGAAGATAATCTGAACCCAAAAGTGTATGATTTTTGAAGCTATTATACTAGGAATAAAAGCCAATATTAAAAAACGTCATCAATTTTAGAAGTCTTCTAGCTGTTCTTCTCAGAGCATTTGGTTAATCATATTATACAACTCTGGAGCAGAGCTATTTCTGCTAGCAACTCATTCCATGTCTTGGAATGGAATATGGCAAAACACCTGCCAGAGGTGTGTTCTTGGCACAAAACATAAAAAGCAGAGCACAGCTCACTGTTGGTGTACACAACTCATGCTGGATTACACATCTACCGTGCTTTGAGTTGTACACACAAAAAAGGATTACTAGATTTTTATTGATATGGCAAAGCTTTATCAGTTAATAACATGTGCAAAGTTTAGGCCCTTTAATGTTCTGTGCTCCATTTATTCAGCAAGTACATGCTATTCAGGCTTCTCACTTCCTGTAAATACTAAACCCACAAGGTGTCACTGCTCACAGACACATCAGAAGTAGTGGGATAAAACAGCTCCTGGGTAGAGTCGGCACAGCCTAGCGGCCCTCTTTAGATTGCCCTGCAGCCCAGCTCACCTCTCTGGGTGTTCCCCACCACCTACTTCATGTTATGTGGAAAGTGCACCCATTTCCTACAGGGTTGCTAGTTCTATGAGTCTGGGATCACTGTCAAGGCCCCTTCCACATTCATGTGGCGCCTCGCTGAGCACCTGCCACACCCAGTAGCTACCAACTGGAATCCTAGAACTCTGGGAGGGCAGGAGGGAGGACTGTTTCAGTCCCAGAGTTCAAGACCAGCCCAGGCAATCGCGATACCCCATCTCTACTAAAAATAGAAGTAGAAGCCAGGCGTGGGAGTACACGTTTATAGTCCCAATTACATAGAAGGCAGAGGCAGGAGGATTGCTTGAGCCCAGAATTGGAGCTGTGATGATGCCACTGCCTTCTAGCCTGGGTGAAACGGTGAGACTCTGTCTCAAAAACAAGAACAAAAAGAAAAAGAAGAAATGCATGTACTAATGAACTCACCACAATCAGTAGAAAGCACAAGGATCCCCAACATTACTTTTACTGTCTTTCCCCCTAGAACCTAAGGCTCTAAAAATCAGCACTACAAAACAAAAGTTGAACTTAAATTTCAACTTCAATCTAACATCTTTTTCAGAAATAGGTCCTGGCAAATTTCACATGATAATAAAACCACAGGTAGGGGAGAGTCAAACGTGATGCAAAATGACCTGCCTGCAAGAGATGCATTTTCCCAAAGAAACAAAATAATTGGATTAAACTCTTTCTAAAATTTTTTGAGTCTTGTTGACAGTACAAACTCATCTTTTATTTATTTTAGCAGAAAAACACATATTAGGAACTAAAGTTTATAGGCACACGTCACAGGAAACAAAACGTGGTAGGTAACACTGAGTCCAAAAGACCTTACACTGAGGCTGGGGTGGCGGCTTACACCTGTAATCCTCTGGGAGGCCGAGGCGGGTGGATCGCTTGAGCTCATGACTTTGAGACCAGCCTGACCAAGAGCAAGACCCCATTTCTAAAAATAGATGGGCTTTGTGGTGGGCAACTGTAGTCCCAGCTACTTGGGAGGCTAAGGCAAGAGGATCGCTTGAGCCCAAGAGTTTGAGGTTGCTGTGAGCTGCAATGCCACAGTACTCTACTGAGGGCAACAAAATGAGACTCTGTCTCAAAAAAAAAAAAGAAAACTTTATGCTGAAAGAAATCAACAGGTCACTGAGGCTGTCATCCCTTGTTGTGGCAACCACTCTTGACTTCATAGAATGGGACTCAGATGGAAAGATTTTTTTTTTTTAAAGATTTCACATAGCATTATTACTATCAACTTTACTGGTTCGTTTTCTGCCAAAATGAAGGCAAGTTTTTTCTGTATCACTTTGGTCAAATTCCCCGTGCCAGATCATGAGCTTACTTAGCCAGCTCCACCCATCTGACGACATCAGGAGGAAGGGGGGTCTTCCCTCGAATGCGCTTGGCAGGTAGCTCTGCAGGCGGCAGGTGGAGCAGAGCCTCCTCCAGCAGGCAGATGCCCACGGGCTGCTGTAGACTGGCCAGGCAGCTGGCACTGGCAGCGGCTGGGTCAAGGTTCCGCAAGCCTGCATGCTGGCAACTGACCTCCTGTGAAACCACAGACACATGCAGCCATTTAGTCAGTGGCACTTAGACCCTATCCTCACAAAGGAGTGACAGATTCTGTTAGACATGAAAGAAGTTCTGATGTAAGTAGTGATATCGCCAAAAGTTTCTCTGTGTTATATAACACATTTCCCCTCAATATTCAATTTGCTCAAAGGAAGAAATAACTTTTTATGCTTGCAAAACAGAGATCAATTTAAAGAAACATAACAGCAATATAGGAAGACTTTTCTTTCTATATACTTCTATATATCAAAACAATTGTTTCAATTTCCAGAAATACTTAGTCTGACTTAGTAAAAGTGGGTAAACTGAAAGGATTCACCTCTAGTCACCAGAAAGTGAGTGCATCCATTCATCTGCCTGTTATTCTGTGCAACCTTTTACCATCTTTTTTCACTCAGGGACTAACTTAATTCGATAATATTTGAATAGAGGATTTCAGAAATTATTATTCTATAATGACCTTTACATTTTAACTCTCAGTTTGAGAATCCTATATACATCAAAATAATGACAACCCCCAAATCAACAGTAAAAAAAAGTTTTTTCATGTTTATTGTTTCATGTTTTTGCATGATAATATTTTCATTAGAACAAACCTATATACAAGTTTTGAGAACTGCCAGCCCCACTCCTTCCCCTCAAAGCTGCTCCCCACAGATTAATCACTGGCTACCAAGGCAAGGTAAGATCTACTTTAGCATTAATGAAGAAATGTGAATTCTCCAAAGCGGTGAGCACAGTGCTGGCCCTCAGTGAGTGCAGCTGAAGATTCACTCATCCCTGTGCGCAGCATAATCTAATAAGAAATGCCCTTAATAAACCAGTGACTATGATTAGGCTATCACTTCTTTATATGTGTATGACAGCTCTTTTAAGTTTATTTTTAAGAAGACTGATGTTCTTTTCAATCCTATTTACATTATCATCTTACTGTACAAACAATGATTTGCTAAGCAAAAGATAAACTTTTAGTTACATAAATTTTTAATTTCATCATCCTTGACAGAACAAGAACCCCTGTGACTAAGGGACCAAAGGTACTACAGTGATACAGGAAGACACAGCCTCAAAGCCAGCCCCTGGAAAACCATCACAGGGATTGCTGCAGACTACAGGTACTGATACATATTCACATGACTTGTTCCAGAGTCAATGGGAAATAGCAAACTTTACAAGTTATTTATTTTCTCTGAGTTGGTTGATGACTCTCCTAAACAGAAACGGGGAAAGCTAGTTTTTTTTTAATTTAATAAATATTGGGTCAAAACTATGAATTAAGATTTAAAAGATTGCTGTAGAATACAATATAAAGAGAAATTTGGCTTGGTGCCTGTAGCACAGTGGTTAGGGGACCCGCCACATATACCCAGGCTGGTGGGTTCGAACCCAGCCTGGGCCTACTACACAATGACAACTGCAATAAACAAATAGCTGGGCATTGTGGTGGGTGCCTGCAGTCCCAGCTACTTGGGAGGCTGAGGCAAGAGAATCGCTTCAGCCCAAGAGTTTGAGGTTGCTATGAGCTGTGAGGCCATAGCACTCTACCCAGGGTGACATAGTGAGACTCTGTCTCAAAAAAAAAGAGAGAAATTTATTTGTTCTGAAATATTAGCTGAGTCAATATAGTTATTCACAACTTTCCATCTTTCAGGTGGACAGGAGAAAAAAGATGAAGGGATTCTACTTGTAAAGTGTAAACTAACAACAGAGATAATATACAAGGAGCTGTACCATCAGTTTCAAGCTATATCAAAAAGAGCAAAACAGAAAAACTATGTACTCCATCCTAGAGAACCATTACCCAATTAGATTATAAAGTAATATTCCTGCTAATAAACAATAATAAACAAATTCAGGGAGGTTACTAGATACAAAATTACTAAAATTAACCAAAAAGATCTTCTACTAGGGAATTTGTAATGATCTATGTTTTGAATGCACATAAAGTACTTCTTACATGAAAAATAACCTGGGGGGGGAGATGGGTGGAGGGAGGGTGATTGGAGGGATCACTTCTATGGTTTATCTTACAAGGGTACAAGTGAATATTTCTAAGAGTAGAATATAAACCTCTTAACATAATAACTAAGAAAATGACATAAAGGTTATGTTAACCAGTTTGATGAAAATATTTCAAATTGTATATGAAAACACCACACTGTACCCCATGCTTGCATCAATGTACACAGCTATCATTTAATAAAAAAAAAAAAAAGAGAGAAAGAAAAACAACCTAACATATGTATATTTGAGCAGTAAACAAATGTACACCCACACTTGGTATTCCCAGCTCAGTGCAGTCCCAGGAGGGACTTGCCATTGCACTTGTGCACCTGTAAGGACACATACGCCCCACCCTGAAAGAGTTCTCACTGACCTGCTTCCTCACCACCCTACACTGTGTTAAGGCCTTCCTACTGCTCAAGCACTGCCACATTGACCTCACCTTATGTCTGTGCCATCTCTGCCTGTGGACTGCCTGCCCAAAATGTAAATCCCAGGAGGGCTTACCTGGACACAAGAGACAAAAGGTGGGAAGAAAGAGAAAGTAGTATCGAGAAAATGATTGAAGTCGTGGAGTAACTTTTGAGTGATGCTGTCTTTTTCAGATGTCGTCTTAAATTTATCCACCTCTTTCAAAATTCCAGAAAACAAGCTGCTAAAGAGCTGTTTTGCAAATAATGGGTCTCTCTATAAAAAATTCAAAACAAAACCAAATTAGCATCTCAAGCAAAAATGCTACAATTCACCAATACTATCAGAGCTGTATTTGTAAATACAAACTATTGGGCAGTGCCTGTGGCTCAGTGGGTAGGGTTTTAGCCCCAGATACTAAGGGTGGCGGGTTCTAACCCGGCCCTGGCCAAACTGCAACAAAAAAATAGCTGGGAGTTGTGGCAGGCACCTGTAGTCCCAGCTACTGGGGAGGCTGAGGCAAGAGAATCGCCTAAGCAAAAGAGCTGGAGGTTGCTGTTGTTGTAACCCAGCCCTCTTTCCCCTGCCCACTCCTATTCCCCAGCCCTCACCTGTTCCCCCCACCACCGCCCTCACCTGTTCCCCCTGCCCTCTCCAGCCCATTTCCCTCCTCCTCCCTTCTCCCCCCAGAGTCGACTCTAGGAACAAGGCAAGTCCCTCCTCCCCCCAGGGTGGCCAAGAACATGCTTCCCAGCCACGTTCCCAAGTCCCCTTCTTCCCCCTACGGTTGCTAAGAACAAGCTTCAGGTACAAGGAAAAAAAGTCCCAAGTTTTACAAAACCCCCAAGTTCTCAGTAGATGAACAATGATGGAAAACTCACTAAGACTTGATTAGTAACTGTTGTATAACCATAACCATTGTGATATGAAATGTATCCATTGTCAACTGAAACTGTATTAATTATTGTTCCATTGCTATATCTATGACTACCTGAGTTGTAACCCCACCTTAATCAGCCACCTTTCACTTCTGTAATATGCTTACACAAAGCCTATAAAAGGTAACTCACACTCTCACCGGGGGGCTGTCTCTCGAGCAGCAGCCCCTGCAGCAGGTGAAATAAATTACCAATTAATTAACCTAAGTGGGGGGTTCGAGTCTATTTTTCCAGGTCCCCTAAGTTATTTCACTGTGAGCTGTGACTCCACAGCAATCTACCAAGGGCAACAAAGTGAGACTCTGTCTCTTAAAAAAAAAAAAAAAGGAAATACAAACTGTTGTTAAGACATCTTAATTCTATTTAGAAAGTTTTTTAAAAACCCTGAAAGTTCTAACAGGCATTGACTGACAAGTGGTGCATTTGTTTTTTGTTTTTTTGAGAGAAAGAGTCTCATTATGTTGCCCTCAGTACAGTGCTGTGAAATCACAGCTCACAGCAACCTCCAACTCTTGGGCTTAAGGGATTCTCTTGCCTCAGCCTCCCAAGTAGCTGGGACCACAGGTGCCCGCCACAACGCCCAGCTATTTTTTGGGTGCAGCCATTATTGTTGTTTGGTGGGTCCGGGCTGGATTCGAACCCGCCACCTTAGGTGTATGTGGCTGGCGCCTTAGCCGCTTGAGCCACAGGTGCGAGTCAGAATGATTTTTTTCACTTAGAAAAAAATGAATGAATGTTAGAATGAATGTTATTTCATTTTGACGTTACTGGATAAGAAAAATGGATTTTACTCTACGATTTTATAGATGGAGCCGAGTGGCTCAGAGCATTCAAGGGCTTGACACAGACAAGCAGTTTTAGGGCTAAATTCTACATAACTCTACATCAGAGGCTCACTATGTGGGAAGAAGCTGTGGCTCAGGAAATGGCAGGGCCAGGACTCAGAGCAGGGTGTCTATGCTAAGCCCTCTACTGGGGACAAATCAACACCTCGTCTACAACAGACTGGCCCCAGCGGGCTCCCTTACGCAGCAGACCCCAAAGGGCACACAGAGATTATCATCTGTCAAGAGCAAATGCAGCAGCAAGGACAGCGAACCTGGGCCACAGCCTGCAAGGGAGTGATGAGGCTGCTGTGCTTGATCTGAATGTCAGGAAGGTCTCCGTGCCGGTAGCTTCTGTACAGGATGACCTGAGCGTCCTGCTTCATTTTTAACTCACTCTTCATCTCCTATAGCCACCAGAACCAAAGAAGGAAGATTAGAATTCTGACTAAAGAAAGGTAGTTGTGCACAAGATGTGATGTCGAGATCCAGCTTTCACATAAAGGCAAAGTAGTAACAACTGTCACAGTGGATTAGTGCTCTGCTTTACCAGTCTACGGCAGGTGAAAAGTACGAAATAAAACTACTATGGCAGTAAGCACAGCAAAGAACACTTCAATATCTATTATAAAATAATAGGAATATTCATAAAATTGAAGCATTTGTTTGAAAACTTTTACAAACACAGATTGGAGGGCTGCCTGTCTGCTCCTCCTGCCCAAACCAACCCACGCAGGGCCTGGGCACTTGCTGACCTCTGCTTGGAGACCTCTCTCTGCTATGCCCATCACTTGGGTTCCTCCTTGGGCAGGAGTCATCTCTCAAGAGGCCTCCACCATTGTGCCCCGCACAGGCCATCCTCAGATGTGCTCTCACCAGGCTTATTCCCAACACTGCATGTGTCATTAACTCCACCTGTCTGTCTGTCATGCTCCCTGGACTTTAATTCCATGGCCATGCATCCCCTTGCCCACCAATACTTACCACGGTGCTAGGTGAGCACAATGCCCCAGAGGTGTACGTTCAACAGAGGGCCACAAACATTAAGCAGAGCCTTCTAGAGCCTGACGCCTCCAGGTCACGCTTGATTCCTGGTCAGCAGATCAACCTGAACTCCTGTGTCGGAGGGTCTGCCCTCCCTGTGAGTCAATCATCTCTAACAGCCCTGACCAGACAGCATCTCATTCTTGGGGAGTGGGGATAGGGGTTTGGGGAGTGAGGTGGGGACTCCGAGGGTATCAGGGTTACTCAGGAGCCTAGAGCTCCTCTGGGGGTGAGGAAACAGCCCCAGGTATGGGGCAGGGTGGGTCCTGCACACACCCTCCAGTCTTTAGACCAATAGTTATACTTACAGAGACAAGAGGACGAAAAGTACATTTTCTTCCCATGGAAGATAAAGCAGAACCATTTAACGAACTCAGATTTGGAAGTTAACTGGCTAAAGATTTAAACTGAACTAGAACAAGGACAGTATTTTTATTCATAACCTATTCTATCTTTCCTGAAAATTTTGTCATAATTACTGATTTATAATTAAAATAAAAAATTATGGCTGAAAAAATTCTGTCATGACTTCCACATTTTGAGAAATGTGTTAACCATTAAGTCAACATCATACTCATTTCCACTCAATACCTTCAGTGGAGCACTCTGTGTGTCTGGCCAGCCCTGCCACCCCTTCCTCTGGGCTCAAATCCCCTCCCCATCCCCTGGCTGACCCTCCACCATAGCTCATCATTTCACGGTGGCCCCTGACCCAATGTGGCCCAGTGAATCCCTGCCCAGGGTTCTGGCCTTGAGGTGGGGAGTTGGCCAATCCCATCCCAGTGGCAGACTCACTGAGCTGTACGACCCAAGATGAATGACAGTCATACCCCAACCCTGAGAGAAGGGTGGTCTGCAAACAGCACCAGTCCGGAAACAGCACTGGGCTGGGCTTTCCTGAGGCAAGAACCAGTGACAGCCCCAGCAGGCCAAGACCAGACGGTCACCAAGTCGGGCACCTCCTATTTCTCTCCAGTGTTCCAGTACCCAGGGAGTCAGCAGGGACTTGGCTCCTGAGTAAGCTCAGCTCAGATACTGCGGTTTCCATGATTTTGGCTTTCAAACAAACACTGGAAGCGATATCTTATAGGAAGATCATTGCCTTATATCCGTGATATAAAACACATATTTCTGACCAATCTAATTTTGGAAAAGATACTGACCTTCTCTCGCTTTTGTTCAGCAACACCTTTTCTGGCATAAATCAAACTGAGTTTTTCTGGATCTTTTAAAAACCGTCTGCGTAATCTTAGTATTTCTGTCCGACAGTCAGTGCCTGAAGAACAACGAAGTGGATTTGGTTACAGATGGCCCAGGGACACAGACACGTGGCCTGCCTCCTTCCCCAAGGCCCTAAAGTGAGAGTCAGGATACTTCGCTATACTTAAACACTTTAATTTAGTATTTTCTTAATGACACAGGCCCACAAAGAACAGCAGAGGAGACAGGAGACAGCAGGGACCAGCACCAGGACTTAGCTGAATCCTCGGCAATGCAAAGGAATGGCCGCAGTGGGAAACAGAGGCTTGGGAACCAGCAGGACAGGACCCTCCATAGCAGGAAGAAAGCACAGCCTGGGAGGGACACAGGCCACAGTGGGAGGAGAGGTTGGCCCAGCACCTCTAGTAACAGCAGCTGCCTCCCCTACTGGGCCCCGGAGCACACGTGCCTCTGGGTCTGAGACACAGCCAGGGGCCCAGCGGCTCGCTCCATCCCACCTCCACAGCACACTCCCAATCTGCATTGTGCCCATGCAAAAGTCACCACTGTGAAGTAATGTTACAATATGAAAGACAGAAACTAAAATAAGTGACAAGGAAAGAAGAACTATTAAGCAGATCATGTGGGAAAAAACTTCAAAATATCGTTCTTTATCAGATGAGTAAGAGTAGATATTACAGCCATGAACCAAGAAGTGAAGAAAGATTCAGAGAACAACAACAACAACAAAAAGCTCATGGAGATTAAAAATAGGAGCAAGGGCTGAAAATAAGGTTGAACAGATTTCCTAGAAAATGGAGAGATAATACAGAAAGGATACCCAATACCCAAGCACAAGAATTCCAAAAAAGAGAAAATAGAGGTGAAGATGTCATCAATAAAAGCAAGCAAGATGTGATTCCAGAACTGGGAACATGAGGCAGCAGGCTGAACGGGCCACCCCATGCCCAGAGAAACAAGATAGAAAAACCTGCTCCAAAGGATGCTCTTGAGAAATTTCAGAAAACTGGTTTAAAAGTGAGGATCCTGGAAGATGGCTGACTGGTAGCAACCTTCTACAGAGGCTCCTAAGCAGAGGAAGAAAAACTGGATGGAATTGGACTCTATGAAGCTAAAAACAGGGAGCTGAGCCAAGAAAGAAGTTCGGGCAGGTGTAACTCCAAGGAAGACCATCCAAGAAAACAAATTACAGGTACAAAGCCTATCAACTAGAGGATGGGAGACCCCTCCCCCAAGCAGGGGGCCTGCCGCAGGTTATCTGCAAATGAGCAGGGAACAAAAGACCTCTCATTTTATCTTGCTATAGAAAGCCACTAAACTCTACCTCTGTTTCTCCAGGTAGACACCACCCGGCCAGGCATAAAATTGAACAGGTATTTTTCCCCCACAAGTCCAAACTCCCAGTCTACCCTTTCTCCCTCACAAGGTGGTCTTAAGTTCTACCCCCTGCAGAGCACAGAGTGTTTGGAGTGTTTGGTCTTGTCCTGAGAGAACTGGGCATATTATGGACTGCCAACCATCAGGACAGAATCTATGACTAATGGAGAAGACAGACAGTGTGGGAAGAAAGAATGACTTGGCGGGAGGAGGAGAAGTGCCCTGGTTATGACTATGTCCAGCCAGGGGGAGTGTTCACACTTGATTCAGGCTATGTCTGGCAGGACGGGGTATAGAACCCCTGGCTCTGATGGCACCCACAGTGGGAGAGTGGTTGCCCTCTGTTGGCTGAGATCAGCAGACAGGGCTGGTCCTGTGACCTGAAAGCAAGGGCATGGTTGCCTGATTCCAACAGAACCCTCAAGCAGTGGCTTATTGGGTGTCAACCAAGACCTGAGGGCTACAGCATAGTCCACTGTCTCCAGCAGGGCTGGTGAGCAGAGGCTTACCAGGTGAGGACTGAGACCTGCAGGCGCAGTGTGGTGCCCTGACTCTAACAGAGCCTGCAAACAGAGGCTTGCCAGGCAGTGGACTGAGACTGACAAGTGGGGGAGTGGTGCCGACTCCAAATGGTCTGGCAAGCAGAGGCTAGCTGGATGTGGACAGAGACTGGTGGGTAGGAGTGTAGCCCCTGACTCCAGCTGGGCCTGTGAGCAGAGAAGCAGACAAGAGTGTGGACTGAGCCTGGCAGGTGGAAATTGGATTCCTGGCTCTAATTGTGCTGTTGGAGACCCTTGAATCCCTCTCTGTTGGGTAGGGTTTGCACTCCCTGAGACAATTTGGTTAGAACCTATGTCTAGGGCTGTCCACTTGGGGACATTCTGAGGTTGACCTTCAATGTTCTGTAGTGGAAAAGAACTGAAGGGTGGGGTTGGATGCCATAGCTGTTTATATCTCCTCACAGTCGAGATTTAAACCTAATACTGTGGATTCTTAGGATAGGGTAGAAGTTGGCTAATATCAAAACAGAGCTAGCCTGCGTTATCTCACCAAATAGGTCCTCAGAGTCTCTGGCTAAAACTCTGAAAGGGGCCTTTGTAAGGTTGTAGGAGATAAGCCACAATTACAAAGCCTAGCGCTTTGGTAAGGGGCTATCTCTACAACCTGGGAACCCTAATTTGATCTCACCCTACCAGTTCTAATAACCAAACAGTGGAAAATAAACATGGTGTGGACCCAACAGAAGAACTCTGGCAACATGTATAACCAGAGTAGATCAACACCCTCCCCCCGAAAAAATGACAACGGAGATACAACTGAAGATGCCATGCATAGACAAATGGCAGAAATGTCAGGAATTGAATTTAGAATATGGACTGCAAATAAGATAAATAGAATGGAAGAAAAGATAGAAATTGAATTCCAAAGAGTAGTTCTAAAGTTGTATCAAGAAATTAATGAATTCAAAGCCCAAGTCACCGAAGATATGGACATAATGAGAAAATTGATAGCAGAGCTCAAGGAAACGAATAAGTTAGTTGAGGAGCTCCAAAATAGACTCCCTCAGTAATAGAGTTGACCAGGTAGAAGAAAGGATCTCTAAAAGGATCTTTTAAGACAAAGCTTTTGAATGTTCCCAAACACTCCAAGAGGCAGACAAACAGAGAGCAAAAACCGATCATTCCCCGAGAGATTTGTGGCATCACTCCAAAAGATCAAACGTTCATCTTATAGGAATTCCTGAAGGAGAAGAGGATGGTCCTAAAGGTACGGATGCTCTACTTCAGGAGATTTTGGAGGAGAATTTCTCAAGCATTGCAAGAGATACAAAACTTCAGATAGTAGATGGTTTCAGAACCCCAGCAAGACTCAATCCAAATAAAGCATCACCTAGATACATTGTGATCAACTTTGCCAAAGTTAAGATGAAGAAGAAAATTCTGCAAGCAGTCAGACATAAGAAAAGCATCACCTACAAAGGGAGAAATATCAGAATGATTGCAGATCTCTCAGCTAAAACACTTCAAGCCAGAAGAAGATGGTCATCAACCGTCAGTCTCCTAAAACAAAACAACTTTCAGCCCAAGATCCTCTATCCAGCTAAACTGAGTTTCATTTGTGATGGAGAAACCAAATACTTTAATGACATAGACATGTTGAAGAAATTTGCCATAACGAAACCAGCTCCAGGATATTCTCAGACCCATCCTCCACAATGACCAGTGCAATGTTCTACCTCCAAAGTAAACTCACCTAGAGATTTCTGAACAAAAGCCAACTTCCACAGTGGTGAAAGGATTAAAAATGTCCACTGGACATCTGAAAATCATGACACCCAAAACACAACCAGGCTTATCAATTCTCTCAACTATTGTGAATGGTTTAAATTGTCCTCTAAAAAGGCACAGGCTGGCTGACTGGATACATAAACTCAGACTTGATATCTGCTATATACAAGAATCTCACCTTACCTTAAAGGATAAAAATAGACTAAAAAGACTCAGGGTGAAGGTATGGACTTGCATAATACAGGAAAATGGAAACCAGAAAAAAGTAGGGTAGCAGATACAACTGGCTTTAAACCAAAAAAGATAAAGAAAGATAAGGAAGGTCACTACATATTTGTCAAGGAAAACACCCAACATGAAGAGATTTCGGTAATTAACATTTATGCACCCTACCAGAATGCTCCTCAATTCATAAAGCAGACACTAACGGATATAAACAACTCGATATCTTCCTGCACTATAATAGCTGGAGATTTTAACACTCGTTTGACAATTTTGGATAGATCCTCCAAGAAGAAACTAAACAAAGAAATATTAGACTTAAACCTGGCCCTAGGACAAAAGGACTTTACAGACCTCTACAAAACATTTCATCCTAATAAAACTGAATATACATTCTTCTCATCAGCCCACGGGTCATCTTCCAAAATAGATCATATCCTAGGATACAAGTCTAACCTCAGCAAATTTAAAAGTATAGAAATTAATCCTTGTATCTTTTCGGACCACCATGGAATAAAAGTTGAACTCAATAGCAATGGCAATCTTCATACACAAACAAAGTCATGGAAGCTAAATAATATTAGGCTGAATGAGAGCTGGGTCAAAGACAAGATTAAAAAGGAAATCACCAAGTTTTTGTAGCAAAATGATAACAAAGACACAAATTATCAAAATCTGTGGGATACTGCAAAGACAGTCCTAAGAGGAAAATTTATAGCATTGGAAGCCTTCATCAAGAAAACAAAGAAAGGAAGCCAACAACTTAATGGATCATCTCAAGCAACTGGAAAAGGAAGAACATTCCAACCCCAAACCCAGCAAAAGAAAAGAAATAACCAAAATTAGGGCAGAATTAAATGAAAATGAAAACAAAAGAATCATTCAGAAGATCAACAAAACAAAAAGTTGGTTTTTTGAAAAGATTAACAAAATTGATGAACCTGTGGCCAACCTAACCAGAAACAGAACAGTAAAATCTCTAATATCATCTATCAGAAACAGTAAAGGAAAAATAACAACAGACACTTCAGAAATTCAAAAAATCCTCAATGATTACTATGAGAATCTCTATTCCCAGAAATACGAAAATCTGAAGGAAATGAACCAATGCCTGGAAAGCACACCACCTTCCTAGACAAATTAGAAATCTTGAATAGACCTGTATCAA